AAACACTTACAAGCATTGGCCAAGTCGCTTCAAGGTAAACATTGAATTCAGCTCACATTTACATCCATTATTCCATAGTTCATCCGTATTTCCTGTTTATTATTAGAGCAAATATTGGACAACAATTTGAGAAATAACATGCAAATAAAGAGAATTAGAGATAAAGAGAGTTAGGGATCTATAAGAATCAGAGTATTGGGGGTTATCAGAAGCAGAGAGACAGATGAAACCGTTTTAAATGAATGAATTAAATTTATGGGAACTCATCGTAACTACCAGTCCTTCAGCCAATCTATGACCTGACCTTTCCAGCTACTAGCAGTGGTACCTGTGATGCGTGTTAGCTCAAGTTACTAACGACAAAGTGAGGTGTCGTGCAGTGCGAGTGAAATAAGCAAGCTTTTCGTTCTGGGGAGTAGTGAACTTAAAATCTCGAAATTTATCCTGAAAAAAGAAAGGAGAAGTGCGAAGTAGTCGACCACTACGAATGAAGTATGACAGAGCGGTATATGCCGAGCATCTTTCCGGAGTGTGACAAATTGAAACAGGTTAGCTTTTCCTCTGTCTACATTTCCATAATTTCAGCAGAAACGATACATTAACTTTTTGCATGCGTCCCTTAGTGTTGCATAATATGCATAACATGCAACAGCCATTGTACATGTTGATTAAATTTATTTCGGTGTGCTAATCGGTCACTTGTCAATGAATGAAGGAGCACTTTTGTAGATTCATTCAGGGTGAATGTACTAGTTAGTCGAAGGAAGTGACTATTTACACTAAAGGGTTAGTGTAGTTTAAAACTGAATATAAGTGTAAGTCATTCACTCGTTGAAAGATTAATCTGGTGGTGAAATAAAAGTCATGATGTAGCATAACATGCTGTGATAGCCGGGCTATAGTCAAGCCTATTATCTCCATGAAAATCCACGTAAATCCTTGTTAATGACCATTTGTTTTTCGAAGAATGGTAGCAGTAATCGCAGTTGATGAAAGCCATTGTTTTCTAACCTTTCATCAGCAACATGTTTGTAGGCATACGACAAGTGTTTCTCTGATTTCTTCGAAAAATTTATTAGTACTGAAACGGCAGCACTTTCAAACCCTTGCGGCCGTTTGCATGAGACATATCGACACTGCATTGAAAAGGTGATTTATTATGTTAAAAATCCTATGTGTATATCAAAGCTCCTCCTCAGTACACTGAGATTTAACTAATAATTACCATAACAGAATCTTGAAAAGAATAAAATTTACGATATCGATCTCAACGAACTTCGAAAAGACGTGCTGAATACAAAAGACGATTTGTTGAAGGATTCTCAAACCGCTGATAAATAGCTCAAGTACATTTCTACTTCTTTTGCAAATTTAATGTGTCTTCAAACCGCAGTTCTATTTATCATGTACATTCATTCTGATTGCTTTTCAGTCAAGTTGCTTCGTCTGAATTTCATTCTTTTAGCATCGCCTATTTCTTAGGCTCTTCTGAAATCACAGTTGCGTTTGTCTGAACATTGCTAATTTCCGTACGTTCTTTACTGTGGTAAAAGTTGGTTGGCTCATCAGTATTTGAAAATAAGAGGAAAATCAATGGATCCATCTTTGATGGGATCGATATCAAACGCCACAGTTCTACAAGAAACAGCAAATGATACACGTTACAGTCATTTGGAGCAAATTCTGGAAAATTTCCAGGTGTTGAGCTTGTTCATTCATTCTTATGTATTCAGATAGAAAACATTGTTTGTATGACCAACATATTTTGGTTTCCAGGAGAATGCACGACAGATGGGTGTAATTGCTAGTGATTTCACAACTCGAAGTCAGGAACCATTAAATCAGAAAATCCATACTCTTATATCAGGCCTTCATGTAAGCGACTTTTTTCCTAATATGAAGTTAAGTTATTAGTGCCGGAGTTAACTTTTTCGAAGTGGACTTTTCAAAACATTATGCAGCAGAATAGCACTTTTGCTTAGGAGTTGGACCATTTAAAGAACCAATTTATGGATGTCAAAATACCTCTTGAATTGCTCGATTATTTGGATCAAGGAAAAAATCCGCAGCTTTATACAAAAGAATGTTTGGAAAGGACACTGAACAAGAACAAGGAGGTGACAAGTTTTAATTTCTAAATCCTTTTTTATTTTTATCCTTAAAGCAAAGCTGAAATTGAAGATCTATTACTTTCCTCTATCCATGCTGTATTGCAGATGAACGGTAAAATTGAAATGTATAAGAAGTTTCGTGCAATGCTGCTAAAGGAACTTGGTGAAGAAATGCCAAATGATATGGTTTTATATCGAAATTTACGAGACAGGAAAGATGTTTCTCCACAGCATGAAAATTATAATGAGGATACTAGTGATTAATTTTCAAATCCAAAGTTTGTATTTGCTTTGTAATATTCTGTTTTTTTTGATTTTATTCGCATTAGAGTCGGGTTTTATGAAGATGTTATTTGCCAGTATAAACAAGTGGCTTCCTACATCAGCTGTTCTCGTTTTGTTCTAATATTGGCTCTCTTTTTCTATGGGTTGTTTTTTCTTCTAATTTGTACAGTTGGGACTGGTGTTATGCCGTGTATTCTGCCTAACTTAAAGTAAATATTCTACTGCAATTGTGTCTTTTGTTTTTATGGCATCAGTTTGCTAGAAGCTGTACCTTAAGAAAATGTCCATTGTTTTTGAAGGAAAGGTATACTTCGACAAGTAAGTCACGAATTCTTTGTGATTGTATAACGGATTATAACTAGACCATTTGTTATTGATAAGCTGTTCATTTGAAAATATCGAATGTTTATTCGTTGCACTGTTTGAGCACTGGTTTATCGAGGCTGTAGAAAATTTATCATGTCAGTTTTCTTACGTGGTATGCAGCCGCAAAATGGCTTTACTGCCAAAACGATACGATTTGTGAAACACTGCAAAGAGCTGAAAATTGGTTGGACTCATAATAAACTTAGGAGTCAGGGTGTCGAGGAATTCGTAGAGGAGTATTTGCCATGGATCAGGTTTGATATTATATTAATCAAATTTTGTCTTCATAGTGGAAATCGAAGTATTTTCAATTTTATTCCATTAAATGTCTTTTAGATTAGTGTGGATGGGTCGCCTTTCTCGATTTTTGAAATTCTTTTTTTGAAGTGAGTTCATATTTCTCCTCAATGTTGTTTCACGAAACATTTGACTTTTGGAAGCATCTTGGTCTATAACTATCTTTTTATATTCTGAAATGATAGGAAACAACAGTTTGCGACAATTCTTCTAACGAATGCATAGCATTTTTCATAAAATTTCGATAATTTGCAAGTTTCTGCATGAACTTTTTCTTGCAGAGAAAATAATCCACATATTAGCATAAGGTTATCTCGGACTCATGTTAATTGCGATCCATTTGTAATTGGAATGTAAGTTTTTTTTATTAAAATTTTATAATCTTGTATGCACATTCCATTGCACCATTATTAAATGTCTTCCTCTGCATGGTTTTGAAGAAAAGAATCTGGTTGGTACAATTTTTTTGGGTTTGGAAATTTTTTAATTATATACGTTTAAACAAATTAGCATTCAGATATGAACATTGTCGCGTGAGAAAACGACGTTGCGACTGGAAGACCAAGCATCAGGTTTTATCATTTGTAGAAGAAATGGCTATCGGTGGAGACTACGTTAAAGGTCAGTCTGAATACCTTAAATTGTAGTTGAGAATATAATTCGGTTTTCCAAATTGGCCCACTTTTCAGCACTTCAAATCCAAGCTATTCCTAATTTAGTAATTAAATTTTCAGGCCGGAAGCGAGGAGTAAAAACGATACTGCCACGTGGCTTACAACTGTGGGATACGGAAACCATTGGGCATGATGTATTTAAGGTTTATAGTAAATGGAAAGGAGATCCACCAGATCCTATGGAAATAACTAGTGCTTCTCATCCGTACCTTATGCATAGAAAGCATGCTTAGAAACAATTGTGTCTATAATTAAGGAAGCCTGAGCTATTCATTCGTACTCAAATGAACTGTCACATCATTTAGATAAGAGAATAGATGTTTTAGATGTACTGTTCTCTTCTTATTATGTGCGGGACTTATCTTCTTGATTAAATCATCTACAGCATAGTTTCGCAACTATCAACTTCACTTCATAGACTCATATATCGGTTTTATCGATGGAATCCTTAGTGGTACAGTATGGAAACAAAATATGATATTTTGATTTTGAATAGGTTTTTGCTTCAGTGATTTGGGCATTACAACTGATGATAAAATAAGCCTTTCTAAGGTTAATGAAGTTTCCCATTGAATCATACCATATTGCTTTTAAAATTAATGTATGGTGCTAAAGAAACCTTGGTGTTACTATTATATTGTTATGATTCAAAATAAAAATATTGGAAATGTTTAATTTTCATGTGCTATGCATAATCTGCCTCTGCATTTCATATGTCATTTGTACCTCGATGGCAATGCGCTTCTCTTTGCAGATTTAAAACGTCATAAATAGGATAATTTATATGAATAGTAAATAGTTGCCGAAATGTCTGGAGGACGGAAAAAGAGTGGAATAAACTTGGTGCAGTACCGTGTCTTGCATAAGTATCGAGTATGGATCTAGCTACCGGATTTAACGGTTTCCAGTTCTTGGCGTTATTTGTGTTTCAGTTAAGATATTTCCTGCACTTCGTCGTCATTTATGGACACAGTCGAGGAACTGAGGAAGCCGAAGGTTGAAGAGGTGCCGGTTTTTTACATGGAAACGTTTTACACGGTGTTGTAATGTAATTTCGAAGTAGCTGTATAAGCAGCAAATTGATCTTTTCCAATGAATTCTTGGTAACAAAAGATATCACAGAAATGCTACCGAGAGATAGGCTTGGATACACATTTTAAAAAGTTGGAGTATGGGCACTGGCAGTATTCTATAGATGCTTTTGAGTGGTTTTAGTTTAATATCCTAACTGACATTTGAAGCTTAGTGTCTCAGGATGAGTACTTGAATATAGATACAAAGAGGACCTCTACTGCCACGCATAATGAAAATAAAAACATTGGTTTAATCTTCTTGTTCTTTGAATTGGTCATATTATAACAAAATCGTATTATATTATTACCGCTTTATTTCAGACTGCATGTGATGAAGTAGGTAGACGTGATAATGTAAATGATGAAGGACGCACATCAATTTCACAGAATGAACACGATGAAATTATCGCTACGGAGAAGGTTCTCAATGCAATGCTATTCTATCGACGCTATGGAATTACTAGGATTCATTTAAGTGTCTCCTCATTCCAGTAAACTTTTTAATTTTATCAAGCAATTTTGATAGCGATCACATCATTGTCATCTTTCGTAGCTTCTTGATGACTTTTTTCTGATTGTCGGATGGTGAAATCGTTATCCTCATGCATAACATCAAAACAAAGCATTTTATTTCAACTGGATTTGTTTTTATTTTCAGTATGGACTTAAAACTGTACTTATTAAAGTCATTAGAATAAGGGATTCATTAAAATCAAATGTCTTTCTTCAAAATCAACAACATAAAGAAATATCTCGGTGATAAAGTTTACCAGCATATTATTCATTAGAAGCATCCTTATTTTTATAAGCCGTTGTTTTTAACCTCTTTCATATTTCGTATCTAACTGTATTTCCTTCAGGAAACTCTCAGAAGAGCAACAGGCAGCACTTTCTCCAGCTTACCAGTACCATCTTGTAAAAATGAAAGAATGTATTGTTCACAATCAGAAGTAAATTTACGAATTTTCTTATATTTGCCCTTAATTTATCGAGCAATTAATATGTTTCGTACTTCTACTTTAAATTAATTTCAGTTTCGTTCCGTTTTTCTCCTTAATTGTTGCTGGGTGATATCCTTTGTATATTCAGTCGGCAGTTTCAAAAATGTTGCATAGTTATTAAATAAGGCAAGGACTGTAATGATTTTCAAGTCATGCTTAATACTGGTTATCTATAGGGTGTTGAGAGAGATAATAGAATGCGGGGTGAGCATGTTTGGAGATGATTTTGCTCTGCGTGCTGCTGTTCAGATGACACAACTGAGACCATCCAGCGATCACTATATGTCGAAAGTGAGAAGTACTCTGAAACAAATTATGAGGGATTGGAGTAGTGAAGGTGTGGTTAATATTGCCTTCTAGTAACTGAATTAAATAGTAAATTTTTTATTGTATTTTTTTGAGTAACTTTTTTACAGCTCCTACTCCTTCAAAATTTAACATTGCTCTAATTAGGAAAATATGGTGTAAGAGTATATATATATATATATATATATATATATATGTATGTGTATATCGAATCTAGTTTCTAGCAAATTCAAGATACGACAACTTATCAGTGGACAGCTGAATAAGCTGAATAAAACTTATAAGAAACTTGCTGAACTTGCGCTAGTTGATTAATGTAAATAATTGATGCGGACTAATTTTGTATGTTGTTTGTAACTGTAAACTTTCTTCATGAACTTTAGAGACTTTCCATTTGTTGATTTGGTTTGATATTGCTATTACTTTTGGCAGGTTCAACAAATTTCCATTAAATTTACAACTCTTTGTATTTTCATAATGTAAGAGAAACGAGTTCTGCTTAAAGGTATGGCCGAGCGGGAAAGTTGCTACAGTGATACGATACAAATTTTATGTGAACTTTTTCCGGACAAAGAAAGCCGTTCGACTATCGAAATTCTGGTTCCCGGCGCTGGGCTCGGAAGATTAGTTTGGGAACTTGTTACCGAAGGATTTTCCGTTCAAGGGAATGAATTTTCGATTTTAATGCTGCTTACGTCAAATTTTATTCTAAATAAATGCAAACAGGTATTTTTAATTAATATGCAAGCATGGAAGGTTTTTTATTTTTATAATTTTCGTTAAGGTACGTGTTAATTACTCCAAATTTACAGTTAAGTTATATCTGAATTGATTAATGTACTTTTAAACTGTGTTTTGCAGTTAGACAGAATTTCTTTTCAGGCAAACGAATACATGATTTATCCTTTTGCGTTGGATACATGCAACAATTGGTCATATGGAGATCAGTTAAGACCAGTACGCTTCCCAGATGTGTGTCCCGTTATGCCAGATGATGTAAGTTGTTAAATGTCTGGAATTTTGATCTTAAGAATTAATCCTATTTAGTGAACTTTGAGCTGTAAATCCCTATTTATTCTCATTTTTCCTTTTATCTCCATTTTCATGATGGATATATTACGAAGAGCAATAGGGTTAATAAAATATTTAAGCTCTTTGCAAATGCTTGTGATTTAGTTTATGTTTATGAGAAGTGTACGAGAAGTTTTAAAAAAGTTTCTTAAAATGTTTATGAAGAGTTTTAAAAAGCTCGTGATTTTTCCTTTTGATTAATTCATTCTCTTTTTTGTTAGCGACCAAATAAATTTTCAATGTGTGCGGGTGATTTCTTGGAAGCAATGAAAAATGATATAGAACGATGGGACATTGTTGTAACAATCTTTTTTATTGATACCGCCATCAATGTACTCGATTATATTGATACGATTCATAAGTAACATGTTTTCTGATTTTTTAAATGATATTATTGCTCAGAAAGTTGCAGGTATTAGTTTTCCTTTAAGTTTCAACTTACTGTACTTGCTTTGGAAGAATTTTTCGGATGTACGGTAATGTTTTAAGGATATTAAAAAAAGGTGGTCTGTGGATTAATTTTGGACCACTTACCTTTCATTTCGCTGATGGAGAAGCTGAGGGTGCTATCGAACTACCATATGATTCAATTATTCAGTATATTACGAAGAAAAACTTTAGGTAAAGGTCTAGTTCAGTTTTTTGTAGATATTTAACTTTTTGTTTGGTGACACAAAAAGATCTTCAACCGAGTGCTTTTAGAAGTATAAAATTTTTGATTTTCAGGTTTGAACGCGATGAACGGGCTAACAGATCCAATCCCGCATTATACGCTTGCAATCAGAAATCAATGTTACGTTATCACTATAATTGTGGATTCTTCATATGCAAAAAATTGTAGCTTATATAAGAATTTGAGCTGAAGTCATAAAATCTTTAATTTGAACTGCTTTTCGAGATTACATCCGACGTTAAGGAGTAATGTAAATCATTCTATTTCAACGGATAAGATTAATCGCAGTAATGCTATTTCCATGAAATTAGACATCGCTGCTAAAGAGATTCTGTCAAGGTTATTGGTTGTAATTAACTGATATCGAGTGATTGTTACGTCTGTGTTTAGCATTTTCTTTTCAAACTATTTTTCTGCGAGAGAAAATTCTTGATCGTCTGTGTGTGCACAGCGAAGGTTGGATAGCAATTCCATGGATTTCCTGCAATAATAACTTCTAAGAAATACGTTATTTTTGCTGATTATTGCAAATAATACATTTTAATGCTGAATAAATCTTTTGTGAGACTTTTTTATTTCGTCATAACGACCGAGTCGCTTTCTGCTCATACATTCTTATATTCTGGACCTGCAGTGAAATGGTCTGTGTACTTTTATTTTCACTGATCTGAAAATCGAATGGTGGGTCAGATATGCTTTCTGTTTGGTATTTTCTTGACACTTGTTGCAGCTTAATCATTTAAACATTGAATATTTCCGGGAAGAGAAAGTTTGCTTCTATCAAAAGTTCAATATTTAGAGAGACCATTGAACTTTTGAGGTTTTTTTTGGCGACAGCATCAATGAATACCATCTATTGTATCAGCGAACTTCCATATAAGGAATCCAATGTTCGTTTTAAAGTTTACAGCCTTTTTATTCTTTGATATATTCACCGTAAATCGTTTAATAAAGTGCATTTGTGCAGATTTAAATTTCAAACTTTCATTTTGAAAATAGATATGACTCACTGCATGACTAGTAAATTATTCCTGCTGTTAGTTTGTAACTTGAAAACTTCACAAAATTGTGTTTTGAGTGAATCTTGAATGCTTTTAGTCTATAGTTACGAAATAACGTACTTTTTCTAATCTTATCACAATAAGTTTAACGTCAGTTCGAAATGCATCAGTCGGATGATTGACCATGAAATTCAATAATAAAAATATTTTCGTATTTCAGGATAGAAAATGAAGTAAAATGTAAAAAAAAAAAAAAAAATTCGAAAAATTATATGTATGCGGTGGAACTTTTTCGAGGATCATTTGCGAACAGTTATTTAATTTTTGTTTTATACTTATAGGCAACCGTGCTTGACAATGATTTCACCGAAAAATACATGTGCATCGGGTCGTAAGTCCTCAACTATTTATATTGACAACATAAAGTTTCATAGAACTTTTAAAATCTCATCCTACAAGATGTCAAGTCTCTAAATTATGGTATATCAAGTAATCTTTGTTATCGAGAATTGAGTCGGAAAACTTATATAAGTAGTTTATTCCATCTAAAAATTAGAATGTTTATTGGGGTGGGCAAAAAACTTTGTGTTGTCAGTTATCCATCAGGTTCCGGTATGAAGAAATATACTCTGAAAAAAATTCAGCTTTAGATAAGCTGAAATTGCAGTTCATAAATGAATTTTTTTTCTTATACTCATGACTGGTTGTTTTCGTTTTTGAATCCTGTAACTGATGCGGTATTTTCAAGTTTTTAGTTTTTCGGTCAAGTGTTTCTCAAATTGCATAGAACTTGGAAATATTACAAAAATAAATCTTATAAAAAGAAAAAATCAAAAAAATCAAAAATAAATCAAATTCTCAAAATCTCAAAAAATAAATCAAAAATAAATCTCTGTAGCATAGAGTACATAGTGGAAATTCGATTCTTTTTTTTTATTACAGACCAGGATCTGTGTCAGTTGTAGAAAGCGAAAAATATTCAGCAACATCACAAAATATCAGAACAAATCGACACGATGCTAATATAATACGTTGGCAGCGTCTTAACGATACTTCCGGTAGTCACATCATTTGCGTGGTAACTATTTGCAAATCTTAGTAACCATGCTGAATATAAATCAGATATTAATATTGATTTCTGTCATTGAATTAATATTACAATAAGGGAAACGATAATTGTAGAAATGAGAGGAACTGTTATACAAGCTGGTTAGTTAATTTGTTGAAATCCTTTCCTTTCGTTGAAATTCCATTCCATGGATTCTTTTGTTGAAATCTTACAGGATTTAAAATAGTTGATCTTG